TTTATTTTCTAAAATAGTTTTTTTAAATATTTCGAACAATATTTGATGTATAACAGTCAAAATTGGTATACAAGGGTTTTTTGATACGACAAAACGAACCATGGGCATAGTTTTACTGTAGCCGCTAGAGGGCGCTCTCTACTGTACCTGTAGTGCATTAAAATGACCGAAAATTTTTTCTTAGTGGAATTTTTTCCTTTTTGAATAAAAAAACTGATTTATCGCACTTTTCAACATAAAAAATCTCTCCTGTGAGTTTTCGTAATAGTTAGCCGTTTTTGAGATATTTCGATTTTTAAGGTTCGATGCATTTTTAATTATTCATGGGAAAATAATATTTTTTTTACATTTTCTATTTGGGAATTATAAGTAATTAAGATGATCGTTTAGATTGTGTTTTTAAATACAGCAATAATTCCTAACTCCAAATAAACACAAAAAAACAGAATATTAATTTGTTTAATTTTCCAATATTATTTTTAACAAATTTAATTAATTATTTACAACTAAAATGCTATTTGATAGTTAGGACAAACATACAAAATCTAAAGTAGTTGCTCGAAATGTAAACCCAATTGTTCAATACACAATTCACATCTACGAATGATCAAACGTGGTATAGCATTATTCAAATAAGGCCTTATTTCATCACATGCATTCCTGATTCTGTCTATTAGCATATCTCTTGTGGTTGCGGGAGTCTGGTACATTTTTTCATTTAGAAATCCTCACACAAAGAAATCTAATGGATTTAGGTCAGGGGATCGTGGAGACCAGGCGACTGGTTCTCCACGGCCGATCCATCTTTCTGGATAATTTTCGTCCAGCCAGTTTCTAACTATTCTCGAATAATGAGCTGGAAAACCATCAAGCTGGAACCAGGCCAATCTTCTTAAATCTAACATAACATCATCCCACATATTTGCATGTCCAGCCTTTAAAAATTCCAAGAAGGTCGCAACATTTAACCTTGCAGGCAAAAGGTAGGGTCCAAATAGTCGATTAGGGTAGATACCAATCCACATGTTCACACTAAATTCATGCTGAAAATTTCTTTCCCGAACTGCATGCGGATTTTCATGCGACCAAATATGTTGATTATGAAAATTTACCACCTCACGTCTAGTGAAGCATGACCCATCGGTCCATAAAACGTTACTTAAAAACTCCCTATTATTATCAGTTCTATCAAGAATCCACTGACAAAATGTGATTCTTCGTTCTCCGTCCCCTGGCTGTAGTCCTTGCACAGGTTGCAAATGGTAAGGACATCTATGGTCATTTCTAAGAACACGGTGAACATGGCTTGCTGAAATTCCCAAGGCACCAGAAACTCTCCTAACACTCGGATCTCTATCAAACTCACGCAGAATCATACGGGTAAATCTACGCTGACGAACATTTATGTTTTGATCCCTTTGGAGATTTCCAAAACCATTTTCAATTATCTGGCGATGCACTCTTACAAATACTGAGCGAGTTGGGTGTCGTCTGTTTGGATATCTTCGTGCGTATTCTCTGGCTGCTTCTGCTGCGTTTCCATTTACAAAGCCATACACAAAATGAATATCCGCTAACTCTTGATTGGAGAATAAAAATGGCATTTTTATAAAACTTACAAAAAAAAACAGGCAAAAGAAACTAAATTTCGTGCATTCACAATTGCAAAAAACGTTTCAGGTTTCAACAGACAACAAAACTGACTGTCAACTAATTGGCGTTTAACCTTATTCTGCTTTCTATTTCAAAGATATTTGCAGGCACAGCCTACTTCTAAAAATTATCGAGATACTGAACGTTATTTTATCATAAATAATTAAAAATGCATCGAACGCTAAAAATCGAAATATCTCAAAAACGGCTAACTATAACGAAAATTCACAAGAGTGCTTTTTTATGTTGAAAAATGTGAAGAATCAGTTTTTTTATTCAAAAAGCAAAAAATTGCACTAAGAAAAATGTTTCGGTCTTTTTAATACACTACAGGTACAGCAGAGAGCGCCCTCTAGCGGCTACAGTAAAACTATGCCCATGGTTCGTCGTACCAAAAAACCCTTGTATACCAATGTTCACTGTTATAAATCAAATATTGTTCGAAATATTTAAATAAAACTATTTTAGAAAGTAAATTTAAACACCCTGTATTTCGGAAGCCACGCAGTTTTCGATCCATGTTTATATAGACTTTATGCATTAATTTTAAAAGTTCTATTGAATCTTAAAGTTATGCATCAATAAACTGAAACACCCTGTATAATCCCGTTTATACCGCACGTGCATTTCGGGTCAGTATACGCCGTAGCCTAACCTAGATTTCAAGCAGTCCTCATAATAATTATTCTCGTGGAAAGCTTCCTTCGTAGTAAACAGTTTTAAAAGTACTATCTTATTTTTTCAAACCTCTCCGCGTGAACGAAGAAAAACGTCTATTATTAAAGTCGCCACAGCTTCGTCATCGACGTGCAGCTTCTCGCAGCTGAATTAAGTGCAGGACGACTTTTTAGTCGTCGCAGTTATAAAAAAGGTTTTTTTAAGAATCCCAATTAATTTCGACTCAGTGAACCGTTTGCGAGAAGTTCAACAATTTCATTCCTTCAGGACAGTGCTCGGCGACGGTGTACAGTTGTTTTAATGAACTCAGTGGCGTTGAATGAGAAAAATCGGGAAAAGAGGAAACGGATAGTGTTGGGCGGTCCAGGTCCGTTAGAGGATTCGGTTCCCCTGGATCGGTTCCATTGTCGGACCACATTTTGACGTTTACTAAGGTGAACAGCTGGGGTGCGTTTGTAAATCACTTGGTGATGTAATATACACCTTAGGAAAAACCATTGTTATACATGGGAAATCATTTCTTGGCAACAGCGCATCGGCTCGTCTACTTTCATCGCTATTCGTACATATTTCCTACCGTTAACCGCAGACCTGTATCACGAATGAGAATAATAGGCAGATACGCTGTGTTGCCAATTTGAGTAGAGCTTCCCGAATTGTGGGGAATTTAGAGTTAAGTGTTGATAGTATAGTATAGGTAGTATAGTGTTACGAATATTCAAAGCAGAGCGGGACACTATACTCGTTCAATGGGTCATCAAGCCACAGTCTTTTCAACAAAGAAATTATTTTACGAAAATGCGTTATATTTTTACGATGTTGTCGTTACCAAATCTCTGTTTCTCAAAATGTACGTCTATTGTAGAGTTTTCATCAAACTAAGCAAGAAACGTGATCTAGTATTTACTCAACATTAAGGATTTCTCGAAATACATTAATAAATGTGACCTAGATACCTAACTGCCCCAAGCTCTTTAAATATAACACCTTAAACCAGGGTTACCAGGTGCTCAGTCACGTTGATTGTCATGTTGTACTGCGCAAGTCAGCAAACAATCTGGCGTAATAAACGTTAGGAATCATCAGGTATTGCCAGATTCCCGAATACCGGGCACCATAGTAACCGTTATAGTTGTCCTTCAACGTTGTCAAATCGCCCCTATGGCGCAAATTCGCCACACCAGGCAACTGTGCTATAAACAAACCCTGTTTGTCACTACTATTTGATAGTCATATGGTAGTTGTAGCCCTATCTAGCGGTCCATGATTTCTCTCAATACTGTTGTATCTCTACTGGCAACAAGAATAGGGATTACAAAATCATTTATACAACAATATACAAACATGAAAAATATGATTTGAACCATGAAACGTTAATACAATTTTAATAGTTTGAACTTTTTTCATTTTTGGAATACTCTTATGTGGAATCCGCAGCTATTTTTCCCGAAATTTGGGTAGACTTAGATTTCTTAGAAATATGACATATTGGTATCGGCAACTCTGCGAATGGGAGAAACAAATCGCATTTGTTGAGCGCATCCGTCTAAGCGGTAGGCGCCAGCGCCCGTTCTGCCATCACTCTTCTACTTCACCCTGTTGTCGGTCACACTCCGACGCTGCCAGATAAGATCCTACAATCGAGTGTCTTTCACGCACCTACATACTTTTGTATATTTCCATCTCTCTTCCTCATCATAATGTATAATAATGGTTTTTCCCATACCGTAGATAGTAATGGAATGTAGATTGACAGGAATACTGTGAAACTTTAGTTTTAGAACGCCTAAATGGTTACAGTCTTGTAATGACACTCGATGACAGTCGACTAGTTTCTAACCACGTTCTTTGCGAGCATTGTCATTATTATTAGAGACCCTAGGGATACGGGGTATCATTTATCATGGAAAATATATTTTCTGCCAATTTTGAATAGTTTTTGATAACCGCATAGAATAAACTAACAATGAACCGTGAGAATGACAAGTGACAGAACTCTTATGCCCAAGGTTTTGAGCTCGGGAAGAAAAGCACACTTTTGATGTTTCAGAAGGCTTACGTTGTTCTATTTCTAAACGTAAGTAACATGTAATTCGAACAATTACGAACGCCAAAATTGTTACAGAGTGGTACAAAGTACACTCTTTAACAATTGAGGAACGCAGCCCAGATCAGCAAGTGATATCTTTGTATCATTCTGTAACGTTGGCGATAATTAATAATGTCCATGAATACTGGAGGAGTATGTAATTGTGCCACAAGCCATTACTCCTACAGTCTAGTCCGCGTAACAGAAAACTTTTCCGTCTTGTGCATGTCCATCATCCATCCCTAAACAGAACATATGCTTATCGCTAGAGACAATGTTATATCATTCATCATCCCAATATTCTCGGACTCGATTTTGTTTGGTTAGTCGCCCTTTTCGCTAGTCGTACAACTATGAATGGTGGGTGCCTTTCACCCAAGTTTTTTCTTGAGAGTCAGTATTGCCTATATATCTTATATTGTCCCATGCATTATATTCTGTGGATCAACGAGATTGAATCGTGCACACCAGTGGCGGCTCGTGGCAAAATAAAACAGGTGTTCTGCAAATCCGAACTTGCCTACTTTTTATATGTCAGTTCGATCCTGCGCTCCTTCTTGGCAGCAAATTTGTCGATCACCTGTCATTTGCAGAATCCACTATATTGCCGCATACTTCTAATGCGGCAACTCGGTGACCGTGACTGCTATTATTACGTCGTCTCCTTTTGTTGCCTTGGGGCTCAGTGCAAATACTTTTGGCTCCATTTATTATGCCATCAATTTTATTTCTCACATCGACAATACATTTTTCAAAATTATCGATAGCGGTTTTAACTTGCGCTGGCTCGGTTTTCTCTTCTGCAACTGGTTGAAAAAGATGTCGACGTGAGGCATGACATGATGAAAAAATGTCAACCAAAACACGAAAACAGAATCGTTTAACATACGGCGAATACCGCAAGCTGCCTTGCAAACGGTTTCATTGGTGAAATTTTCTTTTATTTCTTCCATATATTTAATGAGTTCACTGCCTCTACGCGTTGAGGAGAATTATTAAAAAATCCCGAAATATCTCTCAAATCCCCAAAGAACACCCGAACTTGAGCATTTGCGAAAGTAGCTTGGGACGTAATCGATTTAACTGATGCGCATAGCAATCACATAGTGAGCAAATGGATATCTTTGTTTAATTTTTGCCTGTACTCCAGCATTATGTCCGCTCATTACCGCGGCTCCATCATAGCTTTGAGAAATCAGTTTGTTAGGGAAATTTCGTATTAATGGATCTAAGACGCTCAAAATATGTCTTGTGAGAGTATCAGCGTCACATTTTTCGGGATTCATATAATTCCAAAAACGTTCTACCTGTTCAATTCTTTATTCATGTCACAATACATAAAATATGTTTACATAAGTCAGTAGATCAAATGAGAATTGCATTAGAATTAAAACAAAGGGAGTGCTAATGATCATAAAAAATTACAAACAAGTACACCAGCACTCATAAAGATATAACGCTAACATAACATATTAAGATTTATAGTTAAAATTTATGTCTTAAAAACTCTTCAAACGTGTAAAATGAGTTATTAATAAGAATTTTCTTGATTTGAACTTTAAAATCTTTAAACGGAAGCGATTTTAAGCCATCTGGAAGTACATTAAAAAATTTGACCGCCCAATAACCAGGTCCATCTTGACACCTTCTCAGTCGCCAATAAGGAGGTTCGAGATTGTTCTTATGCCTAGTATTGTGCTCATGGACGTCCCCATGAGTTACATAGTTAGAGTTTCTTTTAACGAATAGTAGATTTTCAAAAATATATAAACAAGGCACAGTAAGGATTCCCAACTTGACAAAGGTATCTCTGCAATCGTCCCTGTAGCCCAGACGGCTCACAACCCTAACTGCTCTTCTTTGCAAGGCGAACAGTCTATGGATCCCTGAAGAATGCCCCCAAGCCAGAATGGCGTAGGATATATGTGAATGGCAAATGGCAAAGTAAGCCATTCTCAATATTTCTACAGAAACACAAGAAGACAAACTCCGTAGCACATATATACCTTTGGTGGCCTTTCCAGCAACACTGTCAATGTGAAGGCCCCATTGCAATCTTGGGTCCAAAGTAACCCCCAGAAACTTGGCTTCACCAACCAAATCACTGTCTCCAGGCAGGCTTCGCATGGAGAACACCATTCTCTTTGTCTTATCTTTATTTAGCAACAGCTTATTGGAGCAAAACCACAGCTCAGCCTCATCCTGCGCAGCCAGAGACTGTGCCATTGAGCGCTCAAAACTGTTAGCGGTGTGAGGACGTTCGCCGTTAAATACGCATCTGAAAATTGTTACCAGTTGGGTTTTCCCCGAAATGTCCGTTGTTTCATCTGCAATTATCGCCAAATACGAGGCTCTGTTAATCTGTTTTATTATTTCTTCATGACAATACAATCCAGTAGATCGTTTTGTATTTCTTTCGAAGTTTCTTTAAATATTGCAGCATTTTTATGTGTTCGCTTAAGGTTGTATCAAGCTCAGCAGAAGAATTAATCAGTCCACGAAATATTCCCGGGTTTTGGGAGTTCTCGGCTTCGTCGTGGCCCCCTAGCGCCAATTCAAATGCTCCGCAAAATTTTATACCGAGCACCGACCGACCAATCGCGTTAGATATGTACGGAGCTGTATAACGTGCAGCACATGCTTATGCTTAAATCGCGCATTTGATTTTGTAGAGAGACAAAAGCAAGTGCGCGCGGCTTGTGTCGAAGTAGTGCACAGACCTTCTTCAAGTGGCCCATGAATAATGTTACGCTGCGGTCGCGACGAAGATGACAAGTACACAATTGGTCGATTATAATGATTTCTCAATACAAAACAGACTCGACGCCGTGTCTTGCGGGGGCAGCGTTGCCGGTATTGTTTCTATTTGTATGATAATATGGAAAATAAATACTGATCAAATTACTACTGGTTTTTTCTGTTAAGACAAAAGTTTTGGCAGTTCTGCAGCTGTGCAGAACTTAAGAACTAGCCACCCCTGCACTGCACGCCTATGCTAGAACACAACGAAAGTATAAAAATTAAATTCCGGCCCTTTGCCGTCACAGTCTCTATAATTTAGTGCAGCCTTGTGTTTTTTAGAATTAGGAGTTGTCGTTCCGGAAGATTTGTAATTTATATAATCGTTTCACGTTTACTCCCGCAGCGAAGCTAGGCTTAATTTGTTATCTGTCTGACTTCCTGGTAGCTTATCCATTATTTGCTTTCTTGATAAAGACTTCGTCTGTTCTATTCAGCTGTTCTTTGGGGAAGAAAACTTGCAAAATGTGTCTCTAGTATAAGTTGAATCATATGTCGGATTCTTTGTTAGTTATTATCAGTTACCTCAACTGCATCACAATCCGATCGGTACTTTCCAAGTTATAGACCGACAAACAGTCAGACAGATCGACGAAAATGAGGACACAGTTTTTCGTGATATTTCATCCAAAATGTCTCATTTTGAAATTTTCCGCGGTTACAATACTTCCTGGCCTGTAGGCGTGGGAAGTGAAGGTAGGTGTTATTACTCGCAACCAGACAGATGAAGTACCGGTGGACCGATCGCTGATCATAAGCCTTCCGCTGTAAAGTGACAAAGCAGCAAAAATGCTCGATACTGCATTGCGAAATGTATACTAAGTGACATATAAATCCGAACACCCAGTTTAAATGGTTTTATTTTAATAAAAGTTGGTGAATGTATTTATCTTACTGTAAATAACAAGTGAAAAAATTTTCAGCCTTATCAGTTGGACATTCCGGTTTTTATACTGCTTTTTTTTATTCACTAACGCTCTAAAAATGAATATTTCAGCCGCAGTAAAGAATCAACTTTGGCGGATTTTGGTTCTTGACATCCTTTACGATCGGTTACGACGCCTAGAGTACGGTGACCTGTACGATTTCGTCAACTTAGTGAGTTTGATAGGGGCCGTATAGTGGGACTTCGGGAAGCTGGACTTTCTTTTCGGGCAATTGCAGTTAGAGTGCAAAGAAGTGTAGACACTGTGGTTAGGTGTTGTCAGGCATGGCTTCGAGAAGGCCGTACGCAAAGAGCAAGGGGCACTGGACGCCGCCGTAGAACAACAGACCGTGAAGATCGCCGCCTAAGATTATTGGCCTTAAGGGACAGTCTCTACACTACCAGATCCATTGCAAATGAATGGTTTGCAGAACACGGAAGACCTATTGGCATGCGAAGTGTTTACCGACGAATGAGAAGTTTTGGCTTGTTTTCATACCGGCCACACTCGGTCCTCCCTTTAACTCGAGAACACCGACGTAATCGCCTTGAGTGGTGCAGACAACGGTCACTCTGGGATCAGGAATGGAACAGTATTGTCTTTAGTGACGGGTCTCGATTTTGTTTAGGCATGCACGATGGTCGTGCCAGGGTTAGAAGGCGACGTGGTGAAAGGAGGAATCCACAGTTTTTTGTTGAAAGACATGTTCATCACACTGTTGGAGTTATGGTTTGGGGTGCTATAGCTTATGGTTCCAGGTCACCTTTAATCTTCATCAGAGGTAACATGAACGCGCAGCGTTATATCCACGAAGTTCTAGAACCCCATCTTTTACCCTATCTTGACACCCTGGCAGATCCAACTTTCCAACAAGATAATGCGCGACCACATGTTGCAAGAGTCATAATAGACTTCTTTCAACATAATGATGTCACATTGTTACCATGGCCACCAAGATCTCCCAACTTATCCCCAATTGAGCACGTGTGGGATATGATGGGTAGGAGATTGCTCAATTTGCAACGTCCTCCTCAGACTCTAGAAGCACTTCGAGAGGAGTTGGTGGTTGCCTGGAATGAGATACCACAGGAGGACATTGACCACCTGATCAGAAGCATGCCTAGGCGCGTTGGAGAATTCGTAGCACATCAGGGTGCATCCACACATTATTAAAGGTCAAAGGGCTTTAAAGCAGTGCAATCATTTTGAAATTTTTATCATTTACTTATTATGCTTCATTAAGTACTTATACAAAATTTTATTAAAATAAAACCATTTAAACTGGGTGTTCGCATTTATATGTCACTTAGTATACTATCTTACTTGAAAATGGGTGAATTTTGAACCAAAAATGACGATAATGCAAATTTTTAGCTACAATCAAGTAGGGAAATCGTATATAATAGCCTCATTTGCATCGGGTCTATTTTTTCCCGAACAAACTCGGATCTAAAGCTACGCTGACGTGCTGGCACAACGGGTTATTAGCAGAAACAGATGTTAAGTCAACATTACAGTCGGAACTTTCGGCGTACGTTACAACGGCAGCGATGGATGAACGTTTTTGCGGCGATGTTTTTATTAGGCAATTCAGGGTTATTGCATAGGAAGTCATGTGGAAGTGTATATACGGAATGGCTGGTTCCTTCTCACGCTGCAAAATTTGGTTTTGCTGATACTGCATCATGTTAGGTTAGAAGTGGTGAGCAGTTTGAAGTCTAGGTCGTTGTACTCCTTTTAATAGATATACTATACTGGCGTACTAGGGAAAACGTGGTGAAGTGTAAGAAATTGAGTTAAAAGTTCTGAATTCTGAAATATACTTAGTGACACTAAAAGTTTTACACCAAAAAAATTGTTTCTTTGACTTGTTTTTTTGACAACATCATAACTACGAGGGCGGTTCAATAAGTACCCGTGTTTGACGATAGAGGGCGTTCCTGATGGAATTTAATGTTATCATCGTCTCCTGTCATCTATTGAACGACGGCACAGCAAATTTCAGACTGATTGATACGTTAGTTTGGATTTGGCAGCCATTTGAGTAACACGTGTTTCGTGATTTTCGCTAAGATGGAAAAAGAGCAGTATAGTTCGGTAATTCGCTTTTTGTTTTTGGATGGGAAAAAATGCGATGAGATAAAGACAAGGTTGGATGCTGTTTTGGGGACACTTCGCCATCTATAACCACAGTTAGATATTGGTTCAACGAATTCAAACGGGCGAACATCCGTTTTTCATGAGGGTCGACCAGGAAGAACGGCAGACGTGGTGACCGAGGAAATCATTCAAAAAATCCACGACATGATACTCGCTGATCGACGAACGAAAGTGCACGAAGTAGTAGAGGCCGAAGGTGTGTCGACCGGTGTTTCGCCGAGTTGTTACCGTCGATAGAACCTGGATTCATCATTACACACCAGAAACTAAGCAAAAGTCAAAACAATCGGTCATCGGCCAGAAAGGTGATGACGACGACTTTTTGGGATGCGAACGGCGCCATCCTCGTGGATTTTTCAGAAAAAGGAAGTACGATCACTGGACAATACTATAGTGAGTTACTGGACCGCCTTGACAAAATACTGAAGGAGACATGGCCACATTTGACGAAAAATAAGGTGCTGTTTCACCAAGATAACATACCAGCACATTCATCCGGAGTTGTCGCCGCCAAACTGCACGAATTGCGTTATGAAATGCTGCCGCGATTCACCCGATCTGGCCCCCTGCGACTTTTTCTTGTTCCCTGACATGAAGAAATGGCTCGCGGGGAAAAAATTAGCTCAAACGAGGAAGTTATCGTCGAGACAGAGGCGTATTTTGGAGAGTACGACAAGTCCTATTTTTTGAGGAAGTTAAAAAAATGGCAGGAACGGTGGGAAAAGTGTATCTTTCTAAAAGAGGATTATGGTGAAAAATCAAAAGAAATTTTTTGAAAAAAATGGTGTCTTCATTTCTAACACGGGTACTTATTGCACCGCCCTCGTACATCCAAAGCATGCTGAGGCTACAATGTCAAAGTTTTGTCTTTGTTTTTGTTTACCTTTGTTGAAATGTTATCTCTTAGTTTTTGCGAAGAAAGTAGTTTCTGAGAGCTGAGTAGTAAAGGTATTTGTAGTCATTGCCTTTTCATTTACTAGTGTTAGGCATAACAAAATGCCTCGAGTTCGAATACTCAATTTATCACCATGTTAGTAACTTTGACAGGAATAGAATTATTGTTTATCGAGATGTTAGTTTGTCCTATCGCGAAATTGGCCGAATTCTTGATATAAGACTACCTCATCGCCAAAGTATCAAGTTTAAATGATTATTTGGCAACACTTGGCAACCGAGTTACCAATGTGCCCGCTAGATGTCACCTTTTATGGTACTGTAGTAGATGCTGTCTAGTCCTCGCTAGTTAGGGCCGTATCGTCAGTCGTTCCTACAATTGTAGGACGCTTCTATGGCCGCCTTGATTGTCATAGTCATTTCTCTCCTTCAAGATTGCACCTGATCCGTGTCAGCGCTCTGCTATTCTGAAGTTATGTTTTCTTTTTGAATTGTAGAAAATTTCGGGCTGATAAAACATGACATAAATCAAATGCAAGAGCAATTTGATGCAAATAGATATTTGTGACATAACCTCAAAATAGAGCGCCGACACAGAAAAGCAGAAAATGATGAAAATCAAGAAGGCCATAAAGGCGACCTACAATTGTAGGAGCGACTGATGCCCTTAGTGACCAACTTATGCGAAACAAAAATTAGGCGAGGACAAACACGTGTAAGAAGTTCCGTGGATCATTCTATATCGACGAGGCACTTTATATTTTGCTGAATAAATACCAAGACGGT